GCGCTGTCAGGGCAGACCTTTATCACTGTTCACCTCTGTTCAAGCACCTGTTGTGTCACAGAGTGTTTATTTTCTCTCTGATGTACACACAAAGCTAAGGAGCTCTAATAGCGTTAGTGTACCTAAATATCCTGAGAACCCACTGCGGATACTAGTTTCATCACAATGTGAAGGACTTCATCCACACGATAAACAAATAGTACTAGAAAGGTGAAGTAGAAGCTGCTGGATCAGGGGTCTTTGTGATTCGCCTTCAAACCCTTTTAAAACTCCATCTTTGAAATCCTAATCTTTTTGTGTGGCCTGAATGTTTTGATAATGTTTTGACTAAACTCCTGGACCTTTACTAACAAGAAAACTGTTTCACACACAAAACAAATGCAGAGGCCCTAACCTACTCTGTGACATCGTCTCCCAGGCATTTCCTTAAAACATGAAAAGATTCTCTTTTATCAGCCCTGTCAGTAAATTATTTTACTGCTTTTCTATTCACAGGATGCCTGGGAATCACATGGCCTCAGTCTGAGAGCCCAGTAATGAGAGCCTCACCAGCCCCCACCCCATCTTACCCTTGTTTCCACAAGCTGCTGATTTTGATAGGAACGCAGAACCTGAAATAGGAGGTTCACTGGCTTTCTGGAATGGGACCCCTTTTCCAGAAGGCTCTATTCCAGTTTGAAACATCAAACTGCAATTTATATAAAATTCTCTGCAGCTGATTACCCAATATTACAAGAGGAATGTGAGGTGAACACATCCGCCATAAATATTGTCAAGGCAGATTCTCTGTGTTAAAAAAAAGATGATTTAACAAATTCCTAGTCTTGGGGTGAAGGAGCTTAATTTAATTTCTGTTTCCTAGTGGACTACTGGACCCCCGGGGATCGCTGGAACTCTGGTTTTTAAATCTGCTTTTCAAATGGTGAAAGCTGTTAGTGCAGACGTCTGAAATATCTCCATTTTAATTCAACTCCTTTGTATGACACTTTCTTGCAATTTCCGGAGACACTCTCAGCTAAAATCATTTCATTTTAAAATAGCATTTGTTTGTTGTTGTTTTTTTGCTTCAGAAGACATATCAAATATCATTTCCCATACAAGTTAAAATCTTTAAATTTCTATTTGAAAATGTCATAATATGATCTAAAGCGTTCAGGGGAAATTTCAGTTCTTACACTTTGTGACTTGAACATGCTATACTTACGAAAGTACAAGTTTCAAAGAAGTGTGTGCACTGCACAGCCAAGCACATTCGCAGGCGGTCTGCAGATCAAACGGATATTAGGATTTGGGATGACTTTATATGTTGAATCACAGTATATTCACAGCACCACCAGTAGTGGTGATGAAGTACATATGCATGATACATGAGTTCTCCCAGTAGCATTCAGGAAGGTGACTCTATTCAGAGGTATTTGATTATCTCTCAGTATGACATGGGAAGATAAATATGATGGTTTATTTCTGGTCAAGTATAAGAGAAGAACTGGTTAGCTTTTGCTACTACATTATTTCAGAACATGTGAAGACTAGTGGTTTTGTGTTGTACGTGCCCCATCTTAAACGTTTTAGCCTCCATTTATATTGGATTAACCTTAAGCTTTACTGAAACTAACTTCACAAAGAAGTATTTCATGAGGCCAAGGAGGAAACTAAGAGTGTCTCCAAACAATTTTTGTTTTACTGAGAAACCACTGCACAAACAAATCTTTTCAAGAAAGCAGAGGCATTGTTAATTTTTTTTGTAAATGAAAGCCTGTTTTTACAGTCACAATCTCCAGGTGTCTCACCCAGTCTAAGAATGGCCTCTATTGTTGGCTGTTATTTAGACAGGACAAATCCTCACCTGTTCCTCCATTCTGTTCTTGAACTTTAAAACCTCAAAGAATGGAATTATTGTTGAAGATCTTCCACAACAATTTAAAATGAGGAATAGCTTTACTAAGGGCAAATCATTTTATCAATGGATTTTATTCATAAATAACCCTCTAATTGCTTTTTCTTTGTTCAACAAAATTACTTTTCTTACATCACCCAAAGAAACGGTCACGAATGTGGTGTGTTATTGCTGCAACTCAGCCACAAAAATCCTTCACTCATGGAAAAAATTATAAACAGTAAAACCTTTCCTTGCCATTTTTAAAGGCAGTAAATGTTATTTTCCATTATTTTCCACATTTTGTTTGTGTTTGAAAGATCTTTAAGTGTCTACAGTGCACTGTATAGTGCTTTTGATATCTTATCAAAGAGATTATGAGATTTGAGATCATGATATCTCCCAGTACTGTACTGTGTTTGATTTATAAAAGTCAGGGATTAGGGAGTATGTGGTCAGTTACTCATTACCAGTCACTGAAGTAATGTTTATGTTTGTTTTTCATCCAGAGTTGTTCTGTAATATTATGGGTTTTGTCCGAAATGGTGTGTCTGTAATTAAAATAAACAGATATACTGATTTTTTTCTTTAAAATGCAAACAATCAACCTCACTTCCTATAATGCAGAGCTACTGAACTTGTGGCCCCTCCAGTCCATTCCTTTACTGCACTAACTCACTTCTTTCTTGCTGTATCAGTCCTTCTTATTATTAATGAAATGAATAGAGTGCTGGTTCTAGGAAACTGTGTAAGGAAGTGGATTGGAGAAGACACTGCATGTTTCTGCAGTGTTGAGCAAGCAATGCCTTTTCAGTAACGTAAATGCTGGACCATGGTGAATTCTGGCCAAATCCTGCAGTATCAAGAAAGTGATTTTAGAAAAATAAAGGAAGGTTTTTTTTTTACCTGCCCAAAGAATAATAATTATTTCATCAACCGCCCTAAAAGCAGACCGCAATCAATAGTCAATTGTGTAGTCTGCTTTTGAAAGAGAGCCTGTGGGGATGAGGGTTTATTTTTAGTTTTGAAAGGTGTTCATTGTGGTTTTATGCCCAGGAATTTTTATGTTGCCAAGACGATCCTGACTTGTGTGTTGTGTATAAACACCGCTGTTGGGTCCTGGTGTTCTGTAATGTACAGGAAGGAGATGACTTATTTCTTAGGGTATTTTCCAGGCAAATCATGGTCCATTCCCTCTGACAGGGTGTACTGGGCTTGTCAGTTCAGCTCAGGACCACCTCACTGGCCACAAAGCAGTCATCCACCAGGACAAGACAGCACTGCAGGGGAAAATGGCAGTATACTAAGGAAACCAATCTAAGACTGGACTCGTCGCTGCTACTACAGTCTCGGTAATAGTCTTTAGTCAGACTTTGTTCCAGGAAAAAAGAGTGATTTACTCTTTTTATTACTCTTTTTTTTCCTACTCATTATTTTCACAGGAATGCTAGAACTGTCCAAAGGCCTTTCCTGTGAGCCGACATCCTGTTTTCTGGAGTTGGTGGAGTATTTTTGAATTTTTGCCAACCTAATGCATTGTGAGTTGTGGTTGTTTTTTTGGGACAAAATAGAGACAGTAACTTATGTGATGCTGTGTCACTTTTAATCTGTCAAAATGTAGCACTGTCAGGATATACATATTCAAACAGGTAAAAGGCAAACATAATCAGAAAGCCTTTCCTGGGGGCCATATCAACGGCAAGTTCCCATGAAACTGAGTCATATTATAATCTTAATAAATATTTATTGAGAAACAAATGCTTGAGGATTAATAATAGGAAAATTAATGAAACAACACTACATAGTTTTCCCTTTTTTATTACTAACAAAAATAAATATGAAAATCATAGATAATACAGAACAACAACTGAGATTTAAAGATAATTTACTTTTAAAATACAAAACACATAAATACATTTGTACTGTGAAAAAGATCTGTATACATTCACAAAAAAGAAAGGTTGTTTAATGGTAACAGTTCCTTCATAGACTTTGAATGGATGAAAATTATTGTTATTTTAAAATATAGAAAAGTCATTGAATTGTGAAAAGTGTTGCCTTTAATCTCAAGAAAAGGCTCCACTAATGGAAACATATACATATATGTTTAAAGTAAAAGGACGTGCTTGGGCACAGAGTAGTGTCTGATCTATTGCTTGGACAAGTCACAGAGTTGTAATGTACAGTTGTAACGCACTTAAATAACTTCAGTCATTATAGTCACAAAAAAAGCAAATTATGGTGTTCTTTATTATAGAATTCTTTTTTCAGCTTCCCAGAATCTTCCATTTCCTTAATGTTTGCTGCAGGGGTGCAAATACTCTGTGTTTGCTGAGGAAGAACAAAAAAAAACAACAGCTCAGATGAAAAATCCAGTTTCTGCTTGTCTTTATTATGCAATTGCTAAACTCAGCCTGTGAGATTCTTAAATTTCTTTGCTGCTGAAGGAAAACACGAAGAACAGCTTAAAGACCAATTAGTCTGACATGAAAGCACTGTCACAAACAGTCGTTTTGTTCTTTTATATTCTCTAAATGCTGATGTCTTGTTTTTATAAGGGGAAAATAATTCACACATTTACATTGTGTATCCATCAAAGAAAAGTATCCATAATGAAATTAGTTTGTTTGAAACATTTTCTCTTTAACAACCTTGCCATTTCAAGTTCAGTGGGGCTATTCTAGATGTCCCTTGTGGTTTAAAGAGCCCTCTGAATGTATTAATACTATAGAATTCCCTTCCTTTCATCTGAAAGAGTTTCTCCAAAGCACCATTTTTGAAATATTTTAGATCAGCCTTTTTTTTTTTCAACAATTCCTCTTTCAAATAACTATACATGCATTTAATACTGTTTTAAATTTCATACAGAGCCGGTACACATGTAGAGTCCATTAACATAAGAAAAACAATATCACAAATACAAGCATTTTAACAGCACAGTAGAGTTATTTGGGGATTTCACAGTGACCTATACTTTAATAATCTCTATCTGAACCTGCACAAAGATTGTGTCTTGCATTTTATCTTCATAAAACCATTTTGCCAGCATTAGGTCATATTTTCATTTACAAACTGACAAGGGTAGTGAGAAAAGGGTAAATCTTCATTAAACGGAGAGGACATATCAGTACAAGTCTGCTCTTTCTCACTCATGACCTTTGTTTGCTGCCTTGATAACCTCCTTGTGCAACTGTAATATGTGCAGATGGATACTGAGGTTGTTTATGCCTACATACAGTAATTAACTACAGGCAATAACTTCACTGAAAATAAAATTAAGAATGGACTGGAATGAACTGTTACCTACACAACCCACCTTCCTCCATTTAAAAGAGGACTAAATGTCAAAGATTTATCTCAGGAATCAAATACAAAGCAAATTACAAGAAAATGAATTCTTGTCCTACATTGCTTGGACCATGTTATCACATAGTGTCCTGAGGTCTGAGAGGAAACAACACTTTTGCATATACTGTCAGTGTTTTCTCTTCAGATATTTTCCCATCAATTTTGTCCTCCTTATAGCCCCTTTTGTAAAAGTATTTTCCTGGCACAGTCCTTCATTAATTGACTACAACGATCACTGTCGAGTCTAAACATGAATGGCTATTGTAGTGGAAACAAATAACAGGACAAATCTGAAACTTATTTTTTTAACAATGGAGAACTACACAGTATCTCCCCTAAGGCAAAAATAATAATGTGGTCTGTGAAAACAAACTTTTTGAAAGGGGAAAAATAGAAGTCTTTGTAAAGTTTTCCAGTAAATATAGACTTTAAAGTGTAGTGCTGTCTCAAAAAAAGGCAGGTTTCATTTAATGTATATTTGTTACACATTAGAAGGAAACTGAAAAAAAAAACACGAATGCAATTGCACCATAATTATTTCTAGTTTTGAGGTCACATTGAGAAATCCTGCTATCCTGTAATTATTTGGTTCTGTTGTATGGTAAGCACTATTGCTAGTATTTTACAGAATGCTCTCTGGCTTCATTTTGTAAAGCAATAACAATAAAGTCATATTCACAAATATTTACAGTGACTAAAGTGCAAACTGAAACCATTACATCACTTTGTTAGACATTTCCACGAAGACACTTGTGAAATTCACGACCACGGTCCGCATTTTACTTCAGATTGTTTCTAGGGGTGGAAAGGATGAATACGACGAGCTAGTTTCCTGTCAGCTGGTCTTCTTGATCTTGCATTACTGTGGAAGAGAACGCAGCCGTGTAAAGGCCAAATTGCCTTAGCGTTACAGGAGCTCCGGGACGGTGCTTCCTCTATCCCCATGGCCAAGCTCTGCTGTGGCGTTTCATTGCGTTCAGGCCTTAAAGCTGCCCCTCACGTTGCGTTTCCGCTGGTGGCAACACCTGGAGAGGAGGACGAGGGCCGCGATTAACGCCAGAGCTGTGACGATGATGATGATGACGCTGACGCTCTTCCTCTCCTGCTCCTCACAGTGCTCCTCTGCTACATGCGAGATGTTAATCTCCTTGTACTCCGAATCCTGCATGTACCGGCACGTCACCGAGTCTTTGTCCGGGATGTCAACAGCAGACTTCTGAATCAGGTGCATGAATCTTGGGTTGCTGCAGCAGTTGAGGGGATTCCCACTTAAGTACAGTGTCTTCAGGGCCCTTTCCAGGACCAGTACTGTGTTGTACTCAAGGGTGAAGAGACTGTTGTTCTGTAAGTTCAGTAACTCTATGGAGGACTCTCTGTTCCACAGAAGCAGCCCGGTTAATTGATTTGAAGACAGGTCTACAGTTTTCAGCCCGGTGAAGAGTGACAGGTCCATATTTAGGGCCTGAAGAGTGTTCCCCTTGAATGATAAATACGTCAGGGACGATTCTAACCCAGTAAATGCTTCCTTGCTGATTTCCAAGCCTGGGTTGTTCGACAGATCTAGTAACAGCAGAGGGCTGTCATAAAAAGCATACCGAGGCAGAGCTACAAGGCCGTTGCTGGAGAGGTATAAGTAGCGTAATGACGGGATGGAAGACAAGAAGACACATCCAGTTTCCTTTCCCCTGCATTCCTCTTGAGGCTGCCTGCATTGCAGTCCACAGACACTCAAGATGTTCTGCTGAAGGTCAAGGACTTCAATACTAGGTAGATGAAGGAAAGTGTAAGGATCCAAGGTACTGAGAAGATTCCCCCTCAGATAAAGCTTTTTTAAAGACTGAAGTGCGTTTTTTCCAAATGACAGATTCTGGAGGGTGTTTGCACTCAAATCAAGGGTTTCCAGGAATGCCAAAGGACTGTCATCATCCACAGAGAAAACCTCAAGGCAGTTGTTGCTGAGATTGAGAAATTCTAAGGATCCCATGCTTCCAAAGAAGGATGTTGGGATACTTTTGATTTCATTATAGCTCAAGTCTAAATAAAACAACTTTGCTAAGTTGGGAAAGATGTATCTATCCACAGATAGTGTCTTGTTTAAAGACTGGCTATGGTTTTGGAAGCTACTGTAGCTGATGTGTTCAAGAAAGTTTACAAAGGATTTATTGAAAACACTCTGAAGTAGGTTTCTGGACAAATCCAGGTAAATTAGCTTGTTCCTTTTGGGGAGCACTGGGAAATAGAATATCTTGTTTTCTCTCAGATCGAGATATAACAGTTCGAACTCCAGGTCTGACTCTGTGGTTTCAAATGACTCAATGCTATTTTGGCTGAGGTTTAGCAGCTTCAGTTGGGAGAGGTTAAAATCTTTGATACAGGTGATAGAATTCATTGACAGGTTGAGCTCAAACAGATCGGGCAAATAGTCAAATGCTCCTTCCTCAATTTCCAGGATGACATTATTATGTAAATCAATGTTCCTTAGAGCCAATGACCCAGCAAAAGTGTCATTGTGTATTTTAGTGATGCTGTTTCCATTCAACGAGAGGTTCAAAAGTGCTGGTGCATTGTGCAAAAAATTACTGGTCATGCCAGTGTACAGGCCATTACCCGAAAGGTCCAGTTTTTTCACGGAGGACAGAGGCCCAACTTTAGAGTTTGACATTGCAAAGATGTCTAAATAGTTCCTGGACAGGTCAAGCACTTCAAGGTTGGTCATATCTTTAAAAAGACCTGGCTGTATGAACTCAATCCTGTTGGAGTGGAAGCTCAGGTGATACACAGAAGTATAGAAAGCCCGAATCTCCTCCGTCAAGTTCTGGAGGAGGTTCTGAGACAAGTCCAGTTTGCGAATACCAGGAGGCAGCTCCAGAGGGACTGTCCTCAGGTTCATGTTACTGCAATGAACCTCCATATTCACCTGTAAGCACAGAAGGAACACAAGGGCATGAGAAAAAGCAGTGTGGGACAAACTTCAGCAGCACAGCAGAATGTCTTTGTTCAGTGGTAATGGACCTAAGCTTTTGCCTTTCCCCCTCTACATTATCAAGTGTGTACAATTTATGAAAATGGTCAGCCAAACTGCTAGTCTGCCTATTGCTATTGCTCACTATTCAATTGAATTGATTTTTATCTAGCGCCTTTCAAAACAAGGTTGCCCCAAGACATTTAACAATGCAATTTTGTCAACAGAACCTACCTATAACTACTAAAACAAATAATCCTCATCATCATCATCATCATCAGAGATTCAAAAAGATAGATGCCACAATTTTAGATCTGAAACAGACAATGTAATCGTTTTGGACGACTCTCAGGTTTTTGAGACTGAGAAAAAACAAGTAGTGTATTGTTGCCATATGGCCAGAAGGCTTCTGACACAATAGCATACCATCTATTGTAACTCCAGCTGAATGGTTTCAGGCTTTTAAAGTTTATTTTGAAACCCAGATTTAAACAACAGATTACAATGTTCACATCAATTAACAGTTTTTTGTGGTCAGCATTAGAACCTTTGCTGTGCATTATACATTTCTTACAACAGAAAATGAAATCCAGAAACAGAAATCCTTATTTGATTGGAGCAGGGAGCTGTGTTATTTGTGCATTGGTGGTAAGGAACAAGAAAAGGTTAATTCCACACTGAAAAGTAAAGATAATGTTTTAAATGAAAGTCCACAAAAGTGATACAGTTTGGCCTGTATTAAGCTGAATAACTAAATGTTGACTTTCAGTTAAAGTACAAAGGTTTGTTGCAAGGTTAGAAAAAAACAAGAGCGCACCGTTCAGAACATATCAGATGGACAGTTCTTTTTTACCCTTATATATCAAAGGCAAGCCCCCAAAATATCTAATAGACACTTAGTGATTTAAAATAAAATGAACTGGTTCTAGTACTCATTGATGTTTTCTGCGAGACACTTGTACATCATAAACATGTACTTATGAGCACACCAGCTCTAACCCCTGTTGTTTTATAAGTCAATTAAACAACATATTTTAGACACATTTTAATTCCATGTAGTTTACAATGCTTTCTGGATCCAAAATTAGTTTCTTATAATAAGTTATCATTGTGATAATTAATTGAAAACATACCTTCCATGTGTTTGTAGCTCATAAATGAAGTCCATAAAATACAAACTTAAAAAAAATATTTTATAGCCTAAGCAGAATTTGAGTTTTTTTGGAAGTAAATAAGAAACATCCTTTGGCATCTTGTTTAGACCACAGAGTTTTTAGACAGTTTTGAATTTTCTTTTTTTATCAACACAATATCGTCTCATACTGGTGCACTAGAAGTATACTCTAAGGACAAAACAAGCAATGAATCAAGTTGAATATTAAGTCAGAGCCCAATGTTAAGTGTTTTACAAAGTTCAACTTCAGTTAACAAGGCAGCTCTGACAAGATTCATCATCCTTTTGACCATATATAGTTATGAAAAACAAATCGTCATGTAGCACAGATATGGTGTTTTTAAACCACAAGGGGAATCTAAATGTGTACAAAAACTGTATCTTCACATATTTCCTACTTGGCATTCTGTCAAAGGAAAGATCTCACTCTCTTTCTGTAAAGTGAAATAAAACATTGGCCCAATGAGAAATATAATGACTGGAAATGATTTCCCCTGTTTTAGATATAGTTCACAAAGTATACAGAACTGGCTCCAAGCTCCAGAAGACTTTGAAAATAATAACTATCAACCTTATTTTGTCTAGGTTCTGTGAATTAGTGAAGAATTTATTTCACATACACCTTAGATGTTTCACTGAGACTCTGTCACAGTGAACTCTGCTAAAAACAGAAATGAAGACACTGACAAATCTGGAGTTGGTCTGATAGGAATTCAGAGGATAATCAAGTGACGCTATACTCGTACTCCTTTCCAATTCATTAGCTAAATTATTGTTTCAGACTTTACAGTAATAAACATGAAGTGTTCTGTGTGGTTTTCTTGCAGTAGTGTACAGATGTTTTCCAAAGAAGCAATACCTAGGGGATTTACACTGCCTTAACCTTGCTCCGCAAAGAGGAGGCTGAAACAGAACCTTCTGATACAGATCTTGTGAAAGGTTTTGTGATTAATTCAATTCATTTAGCTTTAGACCTGGGTCCACCCATCCCAATATGCAGATGAAATTAGGAGGATTTTGCACGCAAGTAACAAAGGCATAAGCTATTAATGCAAAATGAGCAACACTGAAGTAGAACAGGCTGCTTATGATGAAGGTGAGGACATTTACTGTTTATGGGATACATACAGTATAACCTACCCTGAGACTATGCAGCTCAACACTGCTATAAAAGTATTTATCAAAGTAAATTTGGTAAATTTGTGCAATCTGTCTTCAATGTAATGATGAATTATATTGTATTTTGTCTGTTATTTATGATTTTTCTTTCTCTTCTTGTATTTTTTTTCTTTTGCATCTCAGTTATTCTGAGCAAACCGTAAAACAACCCTAGCAACCGGAAGGGCTGGTTTGGCAATCAAGTTGACTTTGATTTTGATAAATGTACTACTCGGGTCTCTTCTATAACACTGTGTACAATTTTGATCACCACGCTACAGAAAGGCTGCTGCAACTCTTAACTCAGTCAAGAGAAGAACAACCAGGTACATTCTGAGGCTTAAGGGACTGTCCTACACTGACAGGCTGAAAGAAATTCGTTTTTAGTCTTGAATGGAGAAGTCTACAAGGAGACCTGACGCATGTATTCAACATCCTCAAAGGTGTTGACAACCTAGCTGACTTCTTCAAAATGAACAGTGAACTACATAGAAAAGCATTTCAAACCAAGAGCAGGAGGTGCTTCTGTACCCAAAGGGTGGCAGGAGGGTGGAACAAGCTCGTGTTATAAAGAAGTTTAAAAACTGTTGAAATGTTAGCATTTCTTGTGTTCTTATGAGACAAGGCAAAAACATAGTAGAATCGGCAGAGACTGATGAGAAGCTCATTAAAACAAACAAATAGGCATTCCTGCTGTGAAATCCCAATTTGTTTTTATGACCCATGCTTTTTAGCTAAGAATTTATTCTTCGCTGCTCCTAATATTAGATTAGCCTCACTTAGCGTACAAAAAGTAAAGTGAAATTTAGAAATCTCTGCGTCCAGAAAAGCCTTTTGTTGAGCTCACCTCGCCAACCTGCCTGAAACAGGTATGAGCTCTGCTAGCAATCACCACAGCAGTGAAATGGACAAGCTTCAAAGTGTTACAGCAGCTTCTATGAGCACACTCCTCCAGGTTCCTGTCCTGACACTTCTCTGTGCTCCCCACACGCTGTCATTTAACTCCGAACAAAGGCAACAAGTTCCTCTTACCAGGTCATGCTCGTGAACAGAGAACAACAAGCCGTGAAAGCTGAAGTTTGTTTGAATCACACGATCCGTCTTCACCACAGTGCTGCATCGCCCACAAGCTCGCCGCAGAGTAAACTGGCCAGCCACACTCACCACGCTTCTGGTCACTTACCATGGGGCAGGGAGAGAGCTGCCGGGGCCGGAATGTGGCCGTCGCTTCATTCGTGACAGCCAGAAGGAACCAGAGATACAGTGCCATCGTGTTTGAAGTCTGGAGCATCAACACCGGAAAAAAAACACACAGAAAATCATGAATGAATAAGAAAAAAGAAAAAACAGAATGAAAGGACTCGACCATGGCTTGGGGGTTTTCAGACGTTGTGTGGGATGAAACTCAATGAGAAGCTGCCTAACAGCTCTGACAGGGAAGTGGAGGCTCTGACAGTGACACTTAATGGCAAAATAGTGAAAATAAAAATGTACTCGATGACTTTGACCTGTGATTGTGTCATTGTCCCACACAATTACAGTATTGTTATCAAATAATCAGGTAGATCGGCTTTTTATTGTTCTTCAGGTTTAATTGGATCCAAAAAATAAACTGCTTAAATACCTTTGTTAAAATCGACGTGCTAAACATGTCACAGTCACTAAGCTGAGTACATACACATGCAAACCCACTTCACATACAATCTTTATCAAAGTAGTTTTATCTATACATTTTTTATCTATAAATGTATCTTTTTTACTACCTCCAGATGTTACTGTTTAAACTTAAGGTGAACTTGGGGTCATAAGGACCTAGAAAATGACTGGTTTCTAAAGTGAAATTAATTGGTAGGAAAGCAGTCCTCACAGTATACCTAAGACAGGAAGCATGTTGTGTGTACGGATCTATTGTGATGTCCATTAACACTACACAGCACCACAGAACTTCCAACCTTGACAATACAGTCAAAACCATCTAAAAGCACCTGATTCTTTTAATCCATGTACAGTTTGTTACAAATCTGAGAATACAAAATAACAGGAAACACCTACAGATCAGCCATTCTTTTAAAAAGTCTGTTTAAAGGTTAGCTATAATTAAATATGTAACACACAGTCTGCATTTACTCACCAAAATTGACTAATTAAGAACTTATCAATGGCTTATCAACTGCTCCTGGACACAGTGCTCAGGCAGATATGAGTGTGACAACTTTCTGAATGAATACATTGAAATATTTATAGGCCATTTGTTGAGGAAAATAAGGAGCTACCTTTTCAAACTATTACTGTTGAACTGTTGAACTTAGAAGTGTGCTTAAACACATTTTAATTTAGGTCTTAAACAGAAAAGGCTTTTAGTTACACTTCTATAGAAATTCTATTACCAAAGTACATTACAAATTTTAAAGCAACAATCAAAGTGTATTTTTACGTGTATGCAGTAATATAGATGTGCCACAGTCGGGTGTCCTGGGTTCAATTCTTGGTTGCAGAGCCTGCACAGTCTCCTTATGTTCATGTGGGTTTTCTCCAGGTGCACCAGTTTCTGCAGTATGTCTTGTTCCCTGTGTCTGCTAGGTTAGTCTCCGGTTGACAGGAGAATGAAGTAGTGGACACAGCATGGATGTCATAATACAGTTAAGACAATTTCTCACTCTGTCATATTATATACAGTATATACCTCATGCAGATAGACAGGTAGATTCCTGTTAGTTAAGTTGTCATGTTCTTTTCTAGATTATTTTCCTAACTGCTCCACTCGCAGGGGTGGGAAGTTGCCCATTTTTATCAAACATTGCAATTGGAAATCCAATTGCTTTATGACATATGCAAGCTATCAAACAAGACTTGGTTGCAATGTTGTCCTTGGAGAGGTTACTTGGTTATTGCTTGCATGAGCCACTAAAATGAAAGCCACAAACACACTGGACTGCACTTAGCAACAAGTCCCACAGCAGCAACAAATACTGTCCAGAAAATCAAACCTGTCTCATGTGGTAAAACCACAAAGACACGTCTGAGTATTTTTACCACCTCTTGTAGGAGTTTTTTTCCTTCTGAATTTAAATGCTTAAAAGTTTGTTTCTTACTTTAGTTTAAAGACTTAAAGTTCCTGTGACATCCAACTATGATAAGACTTTAAATTCCACTGTTTACATTGTCTTGATTAGAAAACGTGTATATCTTCGAAAAAGTGGCAGGTATTGCCATAGGAACTCATAGCTTCTCACGCCGATATATATGCCTAGCTCTCTGCCTTTCCAATTCTTTCTGTCTTGGGAAACAGCCCACTTTCATCCTTCCCACACTAGTTCCACTTCTCAAAATTCCTTTCCAGCTCTCCTCTTTCTGTGGCCATTCTCCCTTCCTCGTGTCTCGTTTCATTTGTATCATGTGCATCGAACAAAGCAAGCAAAATCGACAAAAAGTCAAGTTACCTTCTGGTAAGAATTATTTCCCCCTCCAGAGTGTGCTGCTCATGTTGCTGCTGTGATGCTCACACATCCTCCCTGACTGCTGTCCAGCTGGCTCTGCCCCTGCACCTTTCAGCTATAGACGGCAGCTAATACATCCTGTGGGAATATCCTGCAGGATTGCTTTTTTTTCCCCCCGTCAGTTCCTTATTTGGGATTGGGAAGTCCATGTTTTCTCTCTTATCTGACAACACATGGTGAAACAGGGTCCTAATGCTTCATGCTTCAAAATGTGTCTAACTTTATAAGACTCCTATCTCCTCACATCCGGGATGGCACTGCTCAACATGCAATACGGCACATAAACAGTTTAAAATTCCGTGCGTGTTTTCCATGCGAATACAAAATGCAAACTTTGAAACATGTTTATTCTTTTCTGTAAGTATTCCTCCCCCCTTACCACTGTTTTTTGGTTTATTTTAAGATTTTACAGGCCCTGCAATTATGTCTTTGTAGAATTTTAAAGGCGTTACTACTTACTACTCCAGTGAGTAACCCTCTGCTAGATGGAAGAAATTCTTTAAAAGAATACCCAGCCGCCAGGTAATCCATCAGTAACACCTGCCTAACCCCACCTTCAGGAAGTCCAGCTAGTAGCCTACATGGCTCAGCAAAAACCCTTTTCCCAGAATTTCTGGGACACAGGTAAAAGCAACCGGTATCAAAAAGCATTTTCCTGCAGCTGGTCCTGGGAGGACCACAAAAGCTGAAGCTCAAGGTTGTTACAAAACAGCAGAGATCCAGCCTGTCTTTCTGTTTGCCTACTCAAGACTTACAGACATGACAAGGCTTGAACAGAGGTTTTGTTAGCCTCTAAGCGCATTAACTTTTCATTGAGCAATCTACAACTCCAATCTTCACAAACTGGAAAACATTTTTTTTTTCACAACAAGAGAGCTCTGTCAGCTTTGAGAATAATAGATGACTAAAGCTTACTGACATTTTTTAAGGGCACAAATTGAAAAGGTCATGAATTTCCCATTTTTTTGTTTGTGTCTATTTTTTACTGAACATGCGAATCAAATGGCTTACAGGTTCAATTGTGTAATTGGCTTGTGGCAGCAGGTGTTTTTAATGAATAGACTACTGTATTTTTTTATTTCCTTACCAAAGCGTTGAGGAAACAACAGTCTTTTTCCTTGTCAAATTATATAAAAAATGTTGTTTGAAGATACAGTGGGCAGCTAATTGATCTCAATAATAATAATAATAATAATAATAATAATAATAATAATAATAATAATAATAATAATAATA